TGAGTTGCTTGAAGCCCTATCAAGCACTTGACCTGGCTTCACGGTTTGTTGATGTCAGCACGCGCAGCGTCGAAGTCGCGACGCCGAGTTTGCCGACATGAACTTCGGCTTCTACTAGTCACGGGAGTTCTAGACGCTGACGCAGATGCATTGACATGTTGCCTGGCCCCAAGGTGTCTAGCTTAGTACATGGCTGAGCTGTCTTCTAGACGCGTACTTGATTACCTCCAAGTAATCTTCCAGATTCTCATCTTGGAAGCTCGGGCAACTGCATAGTTTGGCTGCCTGACCAGATAGAATTTTCCACTTCGCCGGTTGAGAAAATGACATAGTTGGGGCCCGGTAACAGAGAAGGTTGGATGATGTGAGGGTGTGCCGGCATCGCCGTATGCACCGCTGATGATGCAGCCGGTGCCGGTTTTCGCGCATATGACCGGAGAGTACAGACAGCCTACAGGAAAAAGACTGCTGATCATCCGGGCCTGAGTAGACGAGGGAATGGCGAATTCCAACGGAGCGTTCTACTGTGTTCCACGAGAAAACTCAATACGCCCATCAATCATGCTATCCTCGGTACTAGTGTGAAGCGCGGCAAGGACCGCGACGGAGTCGACGCGTCGCGGTGTATACACACGTGAGCGTGTTGACTGATATAAAACCCACGCCGCGGCCCGCCGATTGTGCGGGCGTCCCTGGTTGCCGGAAATATGTCCGGTCAGCAGCGCGCGCGCTGTACTGAATATCAATGTGCTCTTGCGTTCGACCACCACTTCGTATCGCACTTCCTGGCATCCGGGCCATAGCGCTGGTCGACCCCAAGTTGTCGTTCGCCTGGCGTTTCGGGGAACGACGCGCAATTCAGTGCTCATATCTGGCACAACAACCTCTTGAGGGAACATAGTGGTTGTTAGGCATACTTCCTTCAATATGATCAACACGGCCTTGCTCGCGGCGAGCATATTTGCCTGTCTTCTTGGTGGACATTACTTGGATATGTTCCCCGCATCACGATATTCTCAATACCGCGATGATCCCCGCTGGAATTGCCACCCCTTCCTGCCTCCAATGCTCGCAGAGAATCCGCCTTCGCCCAACAATCCGAAGCTGCTAGAAGCTACCCAAGAGCTTCGCGCCAAGATGTCCCGTCATTTTGAGGAGCTAGAGATTGACTCGCTCTCAATCGCCATTGTGTCCTCCGCTGGATCCATCTTCGAACACAACTGGGGCGTTCTCCGAGCCAATGAGTCTACCTCGAAACCTGTCTCCAGCCACTCAATATACCGCATTGCCTCGGTATCGAAGCTATTCGCTGCATTTGAAGGGTGGGTACTACAACAGAAGGGCAGACTATCATGGTGAGTGTCCAGTCTGAAGATTGGCAACAAATTCTGAGTGTCGATATGCTGCCGTGCAGGGATGATCTCGTGCACAAGTACCTTCCTCAGTTTTCATACCGTCTGGATGGGTTTGGCACGTCAGGTCAAGTTCCTACAATGCAAGACTACCCAATCACAATATCTCAACTTGCGAGCCATACTTCGGGTCTGGGTCAGTAGAAGCCGCGATCAGCTACTATATTCTACTAACACCGTGTATACCCAGGAAGGGACTGGCCTGCTGGGACAGCTCTAGACTGGCCCCATATCCTTCAAGGTGGCGGCCCGCCGCCCGTCAACGGGCTCCCCTTTCCCTCTGAAGACGAGCTTTTCTCCGCCCTTGCGAGTACGCGGATGACCTACCCGCCCGCATTCTACCCCATGTACTCCAATACCGGAACTGGGCTCCTTGGCCTTACACTTGTGGCCGCGAACTGCGCTCACGAAGGGTCCGCCTCAGATGCGCCGCAAACGTATGCTGAACTGATGAGGCGAGACGTCTTCGGTCCCCTCGGGCTCAACGGAAGCTCCTTCATTGCAAGCGATGCCAATAAACACTTGCTGGTCGTGCCATATGAAGAGTCGGATATCGTGGACATGGATTTCACTGACAGGATGAACGCTGGTGGCGGGCAGTTTGCGAGCTTATCTGACTTCATCAAGCTCACTCAGACGCTGCTGAATCCGAAGAGGCACGATGCACTATTGACTCCTTACACGGTATCGCGCTGGTTGAGGCCCATCTTCTCCTTTGAGGAAGACCATTGGACTGAGGCAGGACTTGTCTGGGAGATTTTGAGGCAGGAGGATAGCAACGGGCGTCCGCGCAAGATCCTCTGGAAGTGTACGCTCACTATAGTATCGTCGTGTTTGTTAATCGCTCACAATCCGTTGCTAGTGGGCTCTGTTGCTGGCTTCAATACCGCATTGGCGATACACCCTGGCTCAGGCTATGGGGTCTCGCTGCTCATGAGCGGGCGCTACTCCGATGCCGCGAAACTTGCATATGAAGCCTTCGCTGTAATGCAGCCTGCAATTGATCATGTGGTCGCTGATGCTGCCAGGGAGTTGTATGCAGGCACATGGCGATCAGATGGCGAAGCCTCATCTGCGCATGTAGTAGTTGACAAGGGGACGCTGTTCCTCGAGGCCATAACACTGGATGGAGTTGACGCGCTGCGTACGCTTGGGGCGAAGGCGGGCGGGAGATTCCCTCTGCGTTATGCCGGACGGTACGATGAGTTTCGGTACGTAGCGTTATGACACTCTCGATGACTTCCACGTCAGGCATTCTAAATGAGTGCTATAGAATTGACATGGGACGGCCGGAGATCAATGGTCAAAGATACATGGGGTGCATGTCACATTGGGCTGGCATCGACGAACTGCCAATGCTCAACGGCGCCGCGATCAACGCGATATACTTTTCAGGCTCCAGGAAGGACAGGCAGTTGCATATTCCGTCGCTGGGCATTGCCATGACAAGACGCCACCAAGCCGTCGATAGCGCGCGTGAACGGTGGCTGTCGGCATGGCTCGGGTGATTACAGTACTGTACATTCTACATGTTCTTGTTTCAACATAAGAAACTACTAGCGATATACATACCGTTGATACGTTACACCCGAGTGTAGAACTGCAGATCTTCCACTCTACGTCTCTCATGCAGCTCCACTATATGCTTCAATTGAGTGATGGGACCGCGAAGAATACGGCTACTGGGCGGCGTTGGCGGTGGGAATCCCGTTTCGTCCAGACACGCACTCGCAAGCTCGGCTAGCGTACCGCCCCGGTTGAAAAGAGTCTGTTGGCGAAGTACGTCCTGAGCAGGGGACATACGCTCACGCAGCTCTGTAGTCGCAGAGCTGTCATATTCTCCGTTGTCGGTTAATACGACACCGTAGCGAGCTGGATCGCATACGAGTCCTTGTCGGACTTCCTTCGCCACGAGCGCTGGTTCCCGCTCGAGCGGATTACCCCAGCCTCCGCCTGATAGTACGTCAATCATGAGTGTTCCGATGGGTGATTTTGGTCCGACATACCACCCCACGTCTGCCAGATGAGAACATCGCCTTTCTCAACAGGAATGTTGTCTTCCTTACTCCCGATCATGACCCGCGGCGGGGACTCAGTGTCGGCGGAGTACTTGAAGAGAACCTTCGATGAACGCATCCCTGTGCCACCGCCATGAACTCCCCATGGTTTTGTGAACCACCGATCATCGTGTATCGAGATATGGCCCGGTTCGAGGAAGGTGTAGTCGATACGCATGGCGTTGCCTCCGCGGTACACTCCCGCGCCGCCGCTATCTGGCACTGTCTCATATCGATCCACGCGAAGAGGAAGATAGCTCTCAAGGAACTCGTTCGGTACTGAGCGCATCGACGGCCAGAGGCTATGTCCATCCGGTCCATCTCCTACAAGAGGACGGGCAGGTATACCCCCGAAGCCAATTTGGTAAAGTTGGAACCATTCACCGGTGCTATCCCAACCAGAATAGAAGAAGTGTGGGCTGTCGGAGAACCCGGCTGCTGACAAGAACTCGGGCTGCCGTTGACCGATGAGGGCACCTATCACGTCGAAGAGGCGAGCAAGGATGTGTGTGCGGCAGGACAGTGCAGCAGGGCGTATGGGGTTGAGGATTGTACCCTCAGGTATGTTCACTTTGATCAGGTCAAACGCGCCGTCCTGGCTCACATGTCAGTTCGGTGCCACAATTGCAGACACAAAACACACATTGTAGACTGTTTGGGGATCCTACGCGCAACACTGTCAGCCATGATCGCGCAAGCTATGCATAGCGTACGCACGAATACTGTCAAAAGATATATGACGATGAACATCTTGAGCATCTCATGCGAGAGCGCAAAGTTGATCGAACGGTCGCTTTGCGGATCCGTGCCGTCGAAGTCAAACGCGACCACCTCGCCCTCGAGCTCGTCCGCCTCTTTCGTCATCTTGCAAGAGATGCGCCAGGGTCCGAGACCGAATCCGTCGTCGTCAATGTAGTCCTCAAAGAAGATTGGCTCGTTCGGAATGGTAGTCGCGATGAGCTTGCCAATGGCGACGCGGTTGCGTTCGAGCAGCACGTCCAGCGCTGAGCAATAGGTGTCTGCCCCAAATCTCTCGCACATCTCGATGATCCGGCGAGCGCCGATTCGTGTGGCTGCGACGAGGGCGTGAAGATCACTCTTCGCAAAGTCAGGCTTGCGAGAGTTCCTTTCGATGATCTATGACATGGTCAGTAGCAGTCGTAGAGCCTGTATGTAGATCACAAACCTTGTAGACAGCCTTGTTCGGCTGATTGCGCGAGTAAAGTTTGCAGAGTGGTATCTGGATGCCATCCTCAAAGATGGTACTCGCACAGTCTGCATCGATCATGAGCGTCTTGCAAACGTAGCTGCTGAAATATAGGCTTACTAGGCATACTCCCAGCGACTGCGGAACTGACAGATGTGTCAGGGACTCGGGAGCGTGGAGAAGTGTCACAGGACTCACCCTAGATCGGTGAAGTGCCCTAGGTTTGCGACCCAACCAACGAGTTCTCCCTCGTGATGTACGGGGTTAACCACCAAGAAATCGTTGAGATGGCTGATGGCGTTGCTGTTGACTGAGGTCAGGGTAACTATTCTCGCGTGGAAAGGCAAGTAGACAGCAACGTACCTGCATGAATAAGGGTCGTTCGTCAAGAAGATCTGGAGTGTGCTATGTCAGCATTCGTTGTCACAGCAGTGGATGGCTGCCTGTAGGCAATCCTACATCTCCTTCCTCGATGGTATCGTCCCAAGATGCAAGGAACCCGTTGATGAAGCTACCAAACTGGCCGCATACCTAGCGATGGTATGAGCAGGCGCATCGCTCATACTCGCTGGCGGACGCACCATCTTTCCGGCATTCTTGCCTTTCCCTGCCGAAAGCATAGGAAAGTAGTCGAGCTGCTCCCGCATGGCGGGTGACATGGCAACGCGCTGGATGAGCGCGTCCATCTCGAGACGCGCATTCTGCAACCCTGCCTCGACAAGCTGTACAACGATAGGGTCTTTAGAGTCAATGCCCGTCGGAATCGATGCCTCGGACCAGATCAACAGGTTGCCTTCCGCGTCAACCTCAGCATAATGAGAGGGTGTAATTAGAGTGTTGCTATCTTCCTCCGTAATAATGCATGGGCCACAGAGCTTATTGCCAACACAGAGCAAGCTGCGATCGTAGATCGGCACATCATTGTACTCGTGGCCGCGATGGACCTACGGATGCGTTCAGTGACAGCACGAGAAATAGGCAAGGCCTGTCTAAGACGTACAATAGAAGTTCTGGATTGGATCGCTTCCGCGAAAGGAGAAGCGCTCCCTATTGGAAGCGCAGGACTGGCGATGTCCTTCACGTTCTCTTCCACGATGGAGCGCAGGTTGACTATCTCGACGTCCAGGTCGAGACTGAATGTGAACAGCGCAGTATGCGCTGCCTTGAATCTATCTCGAGTCAGCTTCATGCGTCGTTCGTTCATCCAATAGGTCTGCACCTTTCCGCGAGGAGAGACTCCTTGTCATGCTCGATATCTTGCAGGGTAAAAGGTATTGGGAGATTGGTAGCCTGACCCTTGAACCGACAGTCCGCTTCCCAGTACTGAGTTTGGTGCTGCGTACCCACGCCTTGCCCAGCGAGAACGGTCGCTGCCTTGTCGCGCAAATCCGTACAAGCTTGCAAAAGTTTCTCATGCGGTAAGTCCGATAGACGACTCAGCATCGTCGTTGAAACTTCGTGGCGCAGGGCTGTTGATGCATCACCAAGGGCACACAAGACTAATGATGGTAGACGTTGATCAGTGAATGGTGCGCAGTGAGAAAGTGATTGTTCGCTCACCTCCAGGGGAGGGAGGCACAATTGTTGGTTGTGCGGTTTGACATAGGGAGGCAAGCTAGTGTAGACATGAGTGACAGAACTGCAGTGGGTGTTATAGAGATGAACCTCGCAAGCAACCAGCGCGCCAGCGCCTCCGAACGCGACAAGATGAAAGCTTCGGGGATCCTTGCCCTTCTCAACAGACACCCCTCGCAAACTCCCATACATCTTCTCCATTGCTATCCGCAAGATCCCTTCGGCGGCTTCGGCTACAGGCAAAGCCATCGGCTCAGCGATATGCTTTCGAATGGCCTCTTGCGCTGCAGCGACATCGATCCTCAATCCACTAGCCAGTGTTGGAGGAAGGTAGCCGAGAACGGCGAACGCGTCCGTGACAGTGGGGGTGCTGCCACCTTTTCCATAGCATGCGGGACCAGGTGAAGCGCCCGCGCTATCAGGCCCGACACGTAAAGCCTTCGTGATCTCCGCGAAGGTAGCCAAGGAACCACCGCCTGCACCGACCGTGCGGACGTCGATTGATGGTGCGCGAACTGAGGGCATCGTCATCAGTACGAAGAAGATAGACATCGACAAGGGAGGCGTACTGGTTAGATCGCCGATGGTTGACTCGCGTCGGAGCTGTGGCACTCCGTCCCCTATAAGACATACGTCTGTGCTTGTTCCTCCCATATCGAAGCTAACCGTATTGTCAGATTCGCTTAGGGCTCTCAATGTGGCCGTAGAATGTAGCCGGAGACGTACGTGAGAAGGTTCTTGTATTGAGTCTTTTTCGCCACTTGGCTGACTATACCCGCTACACCACCCGCAGGCCCCTACATGCGCACATCAGAATGCATCGTACTGGATGGAGTGCCGTACACGCTTACTGAGTAGAGCAAGCTCGCACAGTGCTCCTTCGCTACAGCAACACTCGCTAGGCCGCCATCACTCCTTAAGACGCGAAGGTCCGTGGCACCCAGCTTGTCCTGTAGTGCACCCAGATACCGTTCCAGCGTCGGCTTCACGTAAGCGTTCGCGACGCTCGTCACTGTACGCTCGTACTCTCCAATCTCCGGTAGGATCTCGCTCGAGAGACTGATAGGGATGCCCGGCAGTTCCGCTCGTACTACCTCTGCAACCGTGTGCTCGTGTGCGGGGTTCGCAAACGAGTTAATCAACGAGATCGTGATGGACTCAGGTGGTGAAGCCTTGAGTTTTGCGAGGCGCTGAACCAGAAGTGCAGCGTCGAAGGGGCGGAGTTCAGCACCAGACGAGGACACACGTCCTGGTACTTCGACTGTCAGCTCGAGTGGCGCCAGGGGAGTCGGCTTCGGCCAGACGATCCAACCAGCGAGGCCACCTATCAAACTTCATAAGATGGTCGGCTTGACTAGTTTGTATGATCGAGACTTACCGGGGACTTGGCTGCGTCGAACTTGCAGAATGTCTTTGTAACCTTCAGTGACGAGTAGAGCAACTTTGGCGCCTTTTCCTTCCAGTATAGCGTTTGTTGCCACGGTTGTACCTGCATGCACGGCCTAAGATCTTCGTGAAATATGGTTACGAGGCTGAGCTCGTACCGTGATTGAGAACGGCGATGTTCAAAGTCTCGTCTTCTGCCAGTGGCACCTTTGCTCTACGCAGTGGCCCTTAGCAACGCTGGTAAGACTGTGATGTTGCAAGAGGGACGCACCGTATCGCATCGACTGCATGCAGCACGCCAATGCTCTGATCTTGTGGTGTCGAGGGTACCTGTTTATGACATCAGTGGATGATCTCGGTGGGCGTCGTGCGACGCACCTTGGCTCGGTAGATAGCACCAGAGGTGTCATTGTAGAGAACGGCATCCGTGAATGTCCCTCCGACATCGACGCCGAGTTTCCATACGCCTTCGGACATCGCGTATACCCTGCGATAAGACGGGCGAAGAGAAGTTAGTGGCGACAAAAGGTATCTCCAGGGGCTTTACGGCTGAGCTCCTCTGTCGATAGATAAGGGGTACTGCCGCGGAGGTTCTATAACCTCACGCAGTAGGAGCTCGTGTGATCAAAGACCCACACCTCCGGAATCGGCCTTCTGAAGAGAGCGGAAATGGAACCCGACTGAAGTCAGATGTTGATTTTCCTGCGTTGGATGAGTTAATCGTCCATCTATCCGCCCTGCATCCAAACCAGATGATACGAGCTAAGACTGGGGTAGTCTTCGAAGAAGGATTTGGAGTCCACGGAGGCCGAGATAGGCTTGTGAACCACTGTAAGATCACGTCACACGAGCGGCAGAAATATTTCAGGCTGTAGAGTAGCAATGTCCATAGTCACATTGATTGTAGTCCATCCTTCCGCAGTCCTTCTGGGTCAAGAGGCCGTAGTCCGTTCCTCCTCATCGCGCCTCCATTCCAGCGTATGGCGCATCTATCCTCGCATCGGACTCCAGTAGTGCGGACGCCGGCGTCGCGGGCGTGTGCACAGGCGTGGGCAAGTGCATCGAAGTCGTGGGCAGCGGCTCGACGCGCGGGAGCATGATGATAGCAGATACCAAAGCTGAGAATGAGAGCAGCAATGCGCATGCAAAGAGCACTGCGTCTCGAGCAGAGGAGAAGCCCGTCGCCAACGCGACGACCACGAAGATGTTCTGTGGCACTCGGAATAGTGCTGAAAGCTAAGGATACGGTGGTCAGTCAAGAAATCCGATGTTAGAGTGAAGGCGACATACTGTGGCGCGATGCTCATTGGAGATAAGGTTCCCGCGGAGCACACCCTGTACAGGATAGTACATGCCCACGCACGCCTCGAACAGGCAGAACGCCCAGAACTTTGCCTGTTCCAGTGCCTCCGTCTTTCCACTTCCCGCGTTCACGCAGACAGCGAAGGAGAGTGCTGCTACCGCGCAGAGCAGGGCGGAGAGCGTCACGTGCAGCGTGAGATTCGCCTGTTTAGACGCCGAACGGAAGAGATGCGCCGTCAGGAAGGTGTAGAGCAGCGATCCTAGCATCATGCAGATCATGAAGGTGCTGAAGATGTAACCGAGTGGGAGGGTGGATGCGGGCGAGGCGTCTTGTAATGTCGGCACCCAGACGAAGACGAAAAGGTACATCGAGCCCTCGAAGAGCGTTTGCGTCAGCCCGAGGACTAAGAGCACAGGATCTAGATGAAGTCAGCACTTGAACATGCAGCCAGAACGGCATGGTATGATCTCACCATTTGCCACGATCCTTGCGGCTTTCACCATGCGATCCAACTGCAGCGAGTCGTCCAGCGCTTGGTTCGCCTTCGCACCGTAATTCTCCGACCACAGTCCAGAGATGGCGAAGAAAGCCAGGACCAGAACTAGCGCGGAAGCGATGAACGGAGACCGGTAGGAGTGTCCCGTATATTCAATCAAGTGGTTGGAGAAGATGCCGGCCACTGTCGCCACAAGTCCGTTCAGCAACGTAGCGCGGCCGAAGATGGAGCTGAGCTCGTCCGGTCGTAGTGCAGCCTCCGAGTGAGCACTAACGAGCCACGACTCGAAAACGGAGTACAGAATGGAAGTTGATATGCCGCCGAATATCCTCGCTAGCAGGATAGCGGGTACCCATGGCATTTGGAGTAAAAGACACGAGCTCGCGTAGATTACGCAGTATGCTAGACAGACGCGCTTGCGGCCGCTGTTCAAGCTCTCTCAACGGCGGTCCCAAAGATAGAGCTGACGTGGGACTCACTTCTGATCTGCCCACGAACCTAACAAAGGCGCGAACATTGCTCCACTCAGAAAGCCGGTGATAAAGAAGTACGATATGATCTGCTCGTCGAATCCGTACTGGTCCGCGTATAGCGAGTAGCCATATGGCCCTTGCAGCCAGTCCGCGCCTGTTCCAACCAGTGAGTCTGTGCAGTCGCTTGCGACGAGTATACCACATACCCATGACAAGCCCGTATACTATCAAGTACTTGCGCGAGAGCACACTTGCGGCGCCATCACGGGCACTGGTTGCCGCGGCACCACCGGTCTTGGACTGCCGAGACAGATAATATTCGGCGAGCTTCAAGCTCGCGCATATCGTGGCTAAAAAGCCACATTGGAATTCGTAGAAGCCCATGAAGAGCAAGTTCAAGGAGCGGTAGTTTGTCGAGTGCGAGTATACGCCGCGGAGGATAGACGGATCAGTGTGTTACGAATAGCACTTGTTTAAGAGAGTGCGGTTGTGGTGGATGTATGAGGTCAAGACATGTTCTCGTAGAGACGGGGTGTCTACCCAACATCGAGGGGTGCTCCAAGCTCGTCGAGGGGGTGATCCAACCGGCGACCGCGACCCGCGACGTTCTCGGCCGCCCCGCAGTCGCCGCGCACGTTGCCTTCGCTTATTTACATAGTCTTCGCCGCACCTTGCCTCCGACCACCATTGTCGTTATCCGCTGTCTTGAGTGCACAGCGTAGACTGCTGCCCGTTATCGACTCAGCGCGCTCGACAGACGCAGTCTATATTGCGACATCCGCATGACCTAACGCCCCTGACGTGTAAGAGTATGTTGAAGTCAGAAGTGCCACAGCTAGAAATCCACTGGAAATAGTCTTTCTCGCGCTATCTATGTCTTTCTGCCCAGTGAACACCATTGTAACAGAAGAAGTCAGGCAGGTTGTAGTGCAACTAGACATTGTGCACCCCGTTGTTTCTCATTGTTATCTTCCATGATATCATTCCTTATTGAAGCTTTGAACTCGCGGGCCCAATCCCGAATCCAGCTGATGGAACTCAGACTTCAGAGCTATATCTGCCCACTACGTTATAAGGAGAGCACAGCTCTGCAGTAGACAAAGGTACGCATCAACGAACTTAACTCGCGTTGACGGCTTTCCGTCATCCAGCACCGCCACACCTCGACGCACCAAACCTCCGTCATGTCAGCACGCTGAACTCAGCGCAACGGTATTCCTAGGGCGCTGTGCGCAGATATGAGCTTATATCGCTTTGCAAGCCGGCAAATAGTATGTTGTACTTACCCCTGATCTCACTGCAGAGCTGCGTATAAAGGATGCAGGCGCTACGCTTTGGACTATACGACACTGAACCCAGACGAGCCTCCTCGTCATCCTCCCGCGCCTCCACTAGCACACGCACGCCAGTTACCTCGCCTCCGCCAGCTTATATATCCTCGAAGCGCCCGCGAAGGTACATGACGGACAGCAAGTCCTCACGCTATTCGGAATCCAAGACGTTGGCATCGCACCGCGCATCGACCGTCGGGCAAACTTCGATCATGTCACCGCCGCCTTCACATCCCTCCACCTCTAGGGCGCAGGCCCCTCCTGGTTACTCAGAGTCTGGCATGGGCATCCAAGAGGACGACAGACTCGACGATAGCCCACGTGCATTCGACTCGCCCACGCGCAGCGAGAGTGCCCCCATCATACAACGTGAAGTCAAGCCAGGTGAGTTCTCCGACAGTCCTCTCGACGCTCATCGCTCACGTGAATCTATAGTGGCGCCTATGGATGCGTCTAAACCTAAGCTCACGCCGAAAGAACGGCGAAATGCCAAGGTGCGTCGCTACCTCTTAGGCTCGACACGACGTTTATGCTAACGATGACCCGTGCAGAGGGACGAGCTGGTACCGAAGTGTCTGCGCTTGCCGATCCTCGCGTTTTCGTGCAACAGCGCGAGCGTCGCTTTGTACTTGCCTGCGATCTTCATCTGCGAATGCGGCGAGTGATGAGGGAAGGGACATCGGTTGGGAGCATCTGGTATCAGTATTGTATCCGAGGTTTCGTATCGGACTTCGTTGGACTGTAACGAGAGAATGTACTCGTATCCCAACGGACTTCACGATGATTCTTATGTCTATCGTCTTGATGGGGTACCACGGACTTTTCAGAGGATCGCAGTCTTTGGCGTATCACACGGCCTGAAACAAGTTGAACGATCGCTGGAAGAACGTGGGCCATTGCGATCTGCTCTCGGCCCCCGCGAACTCGTCGTTAATGAAACCCCGGGCAAACCGAATACGAAGAAGTACGCTTCGGGCGATGCCATACGATAAGGTCTGGGAGATGAATGCCATATGTAAACAGATAATCATCGCCTCGTGCTCGCAGCTCAGAAGCAGGCGAGCGTGTGGTAAAGATCAGCGGTGGAGGTTGGATTTGGAGATGGCGAGAAGTAAGTCTCGAGCACGGTTTAGGTAGGATGATAGAGCTAGGAAGGGTGGAAGGGGGCGAAGATTCGCCGCAAACATAGAGGCGTGCGTTGCAGTCGAGACGGCAGCGAGGCGAACGTGCATGTTGGTCTATGAAAGTGTACAAGGGTCTCCGGCGGCCTCCCGCAGTTTGGCCGTGCGTGCGGGAAACTACAGGCCTTCAGATACGCAGAACCACATCTCAAGTAACACCTGCTAGACGGGCTCAAACGATACCCTCCTTGATAAGGTGTCGTGAAGGTGGAAAGCAGTAGCCAGGTTCTGAAAAGGCAAGCCGAGAGGAGAGTCGGCATGCTCGCGGGCCGCGCAGCCGAGGAGGAGAAGAAGGTTTGGGAATGTGCGCGGCGCCCCGCCTTACTTTGCACGCGGCGGAGGCCGAGGCCATGCCGCATTATGACCCCGACGATGATGCAGCTAGCCGAAACTATGATCGATGCGGGGCAACATTGCGAAAGGACAAAGTCCGTGAAGTGAAAGACAGGGAGCAGGCACTCTCTGACGATGAGCGCCAGGAGAGAGAGAACAGGGACGCTCTGCGGAGTGCGCGTCGGAAATTGGTGTGGCGGCAAACGCCCGCGGCTGATGCGGCGAGGAGCGGACAAGTCAGTGATGTAATTGCTACCGCGGGAGCCTAGAATTGAACCTGCTAGCTGCCCAAACGAGCATTCGTACTCCATCTCCTACTTCGATAATCGGCACGGCCGCTTCTTTATAAGATCAACAGCTGTCGTTTCGCCCTCTGTATTAGACAGACATGGACTCCTTCTCCGAACCTCGCCGCCCGCCTCAGGCCATCCATCTCGACGAGGTCCGCAAGGCCGTCGCTGAGCGCGAAGCTGAGCTCAAGGCCAAGGGCGTACCGCTCTCCGGTCGTGTCCTGCACGTCTGTCACTACCTGCCAGTACAGCCGATCCTCCACTCGTCGTCCAGGCCCGGCATCCCGTCGCCGCCTCAGACACCGCCTGTACCGGCCAACGACATCCCGCCTTCGCCATCTAGCCCCGATGGACCGGCCGCCGCATCTTCATCCTCGCAACCGCAACCCAAATGGACACTCGAGGGCAGGCATGGCCACGCCGCCATGATCAGTGGCATCAACTCGCTCAGCACTACACACGAGCAGCTCATCATCGGCTGGCCAGGCGACGTTCTGCGACCGCACGGCAACGCCAGTGGGTTTCTCGACTTTCACATCGGTCATGTCGTAGTCACTGACGGTAACTGTCACGTATAGCCGGGGAGCGCCCAAAGATCCCGGTCAACTCCCTGACCGAAGAGGACAAGGCATCTCTCCAGGAAGCGCTCGCCGAGTACAGCGATTCGGATCTCGCCGATGAGAAGACGAAGCCGGTATACGTCCCTGTCTGGCTCGACGATAAGGTCGCACATGGCCACTACGACGGCTACTGCAAAGAGAGTGCGTATATCCCTCGATCTCCTCAATCGCACCTGCGATGGCTGGGTGAAAAGGCTGCCAAATGCGGACCCATAACCCGCGTCGGCGGCGCGCGGCGGACGCGATCACATGTTTTTCTCACTGTATCGCGTATTTCTCGGCATCCGGGCCGGGCTGTTCGAAGAAGCAACGGCATCGCTGACGACTTGATTGACAGCTCTCTGGCCGCTCTTCCACTACCTGCTCTGGCAAGACGTATCGCCCACCAAGAACTCGGCCTCCTTCAGCGCCGACACTTACTGGGCACCGTATGAGGCCGCCAACGCCGCTTTCGCCCGTGCGATTCTCGACGTCTACCAGCCTGGAGACTTGATTTGGGTGCACGACTACCATTTGCTGCTTGTACCGAAGCTCTTCCGCGCCCATGTCCCTGATGCTACCATCGGTCTCTTCGTGCACACCCCCTTCCCTAGCTCGGAGGTCTTCCGCTGCCTTCCTCGTAAGTAGCTTCAAAAGAGTGGTCGGTGCTGTGTGCTAAATGATTCCACAGGGCGCAAGGAGATCCTCGATGGCATGCTCGGCTCGAACCTTGTTGTCTTCCAGACGTACTCGTACTCGCGCCACTTCATCTCGTCCTGCGTGCGCGTCTGCGGCTACGAGGTGGCGCCTCGTGGTATCGACGTTGAGGGCCATGTCACCGCCGTGAAGCACACTCCAGTTGGTGTTGATGCTGAGCGCGTTGCTCGCGATATGTACGTTCATTCCCTTTGCATGGTACTGGAGCCTTATTGAACCCGCTGTAGTCTGCGCCCTGGCATTCAGCCGAAGCTGCAGAGTCTCCTCCGCCTCTACGCTGGCAAGAAGATCATCATTGGCCGTGACAAGCTCGACGTCGTAAAGGGCATCGTCCAGAAGCTACGCGCATTCGAGAAGTTGCTCCACGACTACCCGGAGTGGATCGGCAGGGTCGTGCTTATCCAGGTCACCTCGCCCGCTTTGAGCGACAGCCCCAAGCTCGAGCGCCAGGTTTCGGAGCTTGTCTCGCAGATCAACGGCGAATACGGCGGACTTGACTTCATCCCCGTGCACCACTACCACCAAACGATCAAGAAGGACGAGTTCTACGCGCTCCTCAGCGCGGCCGACCTCGGTGTTATCACTCCCCTCCGCGACGGCATGAACACCACCAGCATGGAGTTCGTTATCGCGCAAGGTCGCTCGAAGAAGAGCCCCCTGATCCTCTCTGAGTTCATGGGCATCTCTAGCAACATGGCGGAGGCAATGCAGATTAACCCGTGGAACCTCGGCGTAAGTGCTACTTCTTACACCCCTCGATGCGACCTGTCTCCGACGACAGGCCGATGCCCTTTCACTGTATTTGGACTTCGCATGCAATCTTACTGACACCGTACGCAGGATATGGCTGCCGCGATGCACCGTGGATTGACGATGTCTGACGAGGAGAAGACGCAACGGCATTCGGCGCTTCATGACGTCGTCACGACGCACACCTCGCAAACATGGGCGTCAAGTCTCGTGAAGATGCTGCTTGGCCAGATGGGCGCCTCAAACATGGCTCGCCAGACGCCCGTGCTCCCGACTGAGCACATGCTTTCAAGCTACCGCTCCGCGAAGAAGCGGGTGTTCATGCTCGACTACGATGTGCGTAGCGCCCGCCCGTTGCATGCAACGAGTTTACTGACGTTACTTTCTAGGGTACTCTGACGCCTATCGTCAGGACACCTGAGATGGCCGTCCCGTCCGACGACACGCTCAAGGCTCTTGAACTGCTCACAGCTGACCCGCGCAACCTCGTCTACATCATCTCCGGTCGCGACTCCGCCTTCCTCATGCAACACCTCGGCCACTTCAAGGGCTTGGGCATGTCGGCCGAGCACGGCGGCTTCATGCGCGAGCCCGGCTCCCAGACGTGGAAGAACTTCACGGAGACGCTGGACATGAGCTGGATGGCGGAGGTCCTCGAGGTGTTCAAGTACTACACCGAGCGCACAACGGGCTCGCACATCGAGATCAAGAAGAGCTCTATCACTTGGCATTACCGCGGCGCGGACCCGGAGTGGGGTCAGTTCCAGTGCAGGCAGTGCCAGGACTTGCTCGAGAACAACGTCGCGCACAAGAGACCTATCGAGGTTATGGTCGGGAAGAAGAACCTTGAGGTGCGGCCTATTGCGATCAACAAGGGCGAGATCGTCAAGCGCCTCATCTACCTCAACCCCGACGCCGAGTTCGTCTTCTGTGCTGGTGACGACAAGGTATGCAGTGATATGCCCTCTTCCTTTGCGTTTCACATATCTGACCAACTGCGCAGACGGATGAGGACATGTTCCGCGCTCTGTCGTTCCCGGACGTCAGCGACAGCGCCGAGATCCAGTTCGAGGCCCCGATCTCTGTCAAGCTGCTTGCGGAGGACAAGGATGCGGAGCACCCGGCGAAGACCCTTGCTCTCAAGCGCGGCGACGTGTTCACGACCGCCGTTGGCCATGCGACGAAGCGCACCCTCGCAGCATGGCACGTCACCAGCCCGCAGGAGGTCGTCGACGAGCTTCTGTCTCTCGGTCGCTCGAGCGAAGAGTCCAAGCTCTAAGCCCTCGTCGAGAGTTTCTGAGGTGCCAGGCTCACCGGACTGCTGCTCGTTGATACACGGACACATTACGAATTAGATGCGCGCATATGTAGGTTAAACGGGGTTTTGGTTTGCTGTTCATCGGGCGCTCCATGTATTAGAATGTACATTGTATCCATAGACTTTTTCTTCATCCCAACTGGCATCATTGTCTGCGCTTTGACGCTTTTCGTATACGCCCACGCACAAACGCACATGACCGTGTGCCTCGAACCTATTCGAAACGAGCGTGCGAGTTACTCGATGAAGGTGATGAGCCGTGATGCTCTTGATCTGCGACCACCACCAACTACTGTAGTACCACTACGCTCGGTGCTCATATCACCGCAACACCTTCACCAGCCCGAGGCATCACGCGAAGTTCATATGTCTGATACTCCTACCGAACACCTCGGACTGCGCGATTATCCTGAGGACGCACTCTACGGCATATTATCCTTCCTTCCTGATCCAGTCGCACCAGTCCACACAGGCGACGGTCCGCTGATCGCCCGTCGCCTGACCGAACAGCCCAAGCTCACAGTGCTGAAGGACAAAGGCTACGAACGCCACGGGTGGCTTCCCTCGACTTGGGTTTGCAGACTTTGGCGCTCTATAATCCTTTCCCAGAAGTGGCATCATGTTCCTCTTGTACCTAGGAGCGATATGTCCATCTCTATCATACGTTCATTCGCGCCTCTTCCCATTGATCTCTACATTGACGAGAAGGAGAGAGAGCTCCCCGACTCCCGTCAAGCTATTGAAACAGTCATTGGACTCTTCGGGACTCGTCTGCATGCGATTCACCTTTGGACGAGCGGCGGCGAGCGGTCTCTTGATGACCCTGTACTCTTTGATGGTCTGCGTGCAGTGCAGACACCGGCTTTGCAAAAATTCTATGTCCACTGCGTAGAATCTCGTCTAGCTGGTCTCTTCGGCGGCAATAACAGTGTCACCGTCGTCATCGTTGGACACTCTCCGGGCGTCCCTTTGCCTGCGAGCTTGGGTTCCCATTTGCAAATCCTGGATTTAAACCGATGCAAGGTCGTCAATCCAAGCGCGCTTCAATCCTGCGCCCCGAAGATTGTCTGTCTACGGGACTGTCAAGGCTTCTGGGGCCGCGACGAGCCTCATCCTTTTATCGTCGATGGCGTACCAATGTTTGACCCCGAGATTACCGATGGACAACAATTTGGCATACCGATCAAGTGTCATCTACTTCGAGTTCTCCGTTTGTTCTCCGGCTCTTTGCCATCAGCGGAGGTGCTCGCCGCAGTCGGCGGCCAGGTCTCACTCCCCGTTCTTGAAGAGTTGGAATTATCCGGCTTCATACCCGACGTCGAACGAGTCTTCGAGGCACTCGTATTCCCTCCTACAGCTTCAGTTTATTTATCGTGCACCTACGGTTTTGAGGAAGTCGACCTCTCCTCCAGACCACTGGTTCACCGATTGGCAGTTCGATACTCCGAAGGCGATGCCGTGACGAGTTTTAGCTGGGACACGATGAAGTTAGATGTCAAAGAGGGATACTTCTCTCTGGAATGCGTCAGTGCAAGGGGCACACTGCTCGCGATATCTTTCCGAGACATGATGGGAGGGCGTCCCGCAATGGCCGTGCATCGACGATTCGAGATAGCCAACTCTTTCCTAGGTGGCGCATTAGCCATCTTCGCAGATGCACAGGCGCTCTCTGTGTACAGCTCCATTGAATTTGAAACCGATTGGATTACCGGGGAGCAACGACGCTGCCGCTGGGTCGAGCCGGCGGCTGTCCATATGATGGCCATCACAGACCTTGCACTTACGCCTCAGGCGGCAAAACACTTCCTGGAGTATTGCGAAAAGCAAAGGGCGGAAGGAAACACGCGAGACACCCTTTCCCAGTTGGAACGCCTAAAACTGCTGATCCCTTCCCCTAACGACACGCAATACACGAGCCCGCTAGGAAGGGATATTTTGCTTGGTCTTCGCGCAGAATCGAGTGCGAGAGAAACACCATTCCAAGTAGTGTTCGACGAAGGCGTGCTTGGAGAGGGCGAGATGTCATCTGCCGAAGATATACCTGAGGAGTGAGCTTGTCGAAATCACAAGGTCACGGTGAGGAGAAGTCAGGTAGCTATGTCCCGTGTATTGTCAGGTTCGATATCAAGTCTAAAGACATGTTCTGCCAAAAATGTACCTATGCCTCAATATCACTTTGAATCTGTAACTCAGGTCGAACTTCTGGAGTACGACCGATAGCGCGGGCCGTCCCCATCTGATAGCTAGTCGCCGGGGTGTGACACGAACCCGGGCTGAGTACCGCCGAGATGCTCCTGCAGATTCAAGGAGCGATATATGGATTCAAGAGGTGATACACAAGGATATATGCTGCTACAACCACGTTCCGAGTCATCTGAGAAGATACAAAGCACATCACAAGGACGAGGCGGTTACAGGTAGTCAATTACAGGCGTGGGATTCCACTCCGGGAACTTCGCGTTATCCAACGAGCTTTGGTCTCCAAGTACAGCCCCACCAGAGGCCCAGTTGAGATGGAACCAGCTCACGATGTCGCGCGGGTTCTTCGCGAGGTTAGCTTGTAGCTCCTCGATGGGCGTGTACTTGACTTCTAGCTTCGTGTTGTGCTTCTTCTCGTACGCCTCGAAGATCTCGTTGAACGACTATGGTGGATCATTAACATCCAGTGCCATGAATACAGCAGAGATAGACGTACCAAGCGCTCAGCTTCTATGCTGAACGACTTGCCGATCGTCTCCTCAGGCGGGAGCGTCGCGAAGACATGCACGACATACCGCGCGACGTCAGCCCGAGACGTGAAGCTCATCTTCGCGTTCCCATCTCCTCCAACAGTGACGCTCCCACTCTTGAGCTTGAGGTTCGCAACAGGGACATCCCACACGAAGTCGGAGAAGATGCCGGTGAAGAACTTGGTGACGGGTATGATGGCCGCGACCTTGTCGGCCACCGCGAGCTTCATGGCCGAGTGCCCTTCCTTCGCGCCGTCCGTATCGGCGCCGAACTCGGACGGGACGAAGACGCGGACTCCTGCCGTCTTGGCCGCTTCCGCGATGGGGACTTGCAGCTGCGACGCGGTTGCACCGAGCGTGGAGATGATCACTTCGACGTCCTTGAGAGCTTCGGATACGGCGGACACGTCGTTGTAATCGGCAATCGGCGCGATTGTGGCGCCCCTTGAGGCATATGGCTGTAACTTCTCAACAGAGCCCTGGGAAGAAATCAGCAATAGAATCGTCGCGTGGTCGATAATCGTCACGTACTGGGCGTGCAAGGACGACAACCGTGCTGATGGCGCCGGAGGCCTTGGCCTTGAGTAGCTCATCCAAGATATAGCTGCCGATGTTGCCAACCCCAACAATGCCGAAGTTCTTGAAGCCAGACATGGTGCAGATAAAAGATGCGGGTTATGACAGCGTCGAGCGAGTCGAGTGGATGGTGTCAATGGTGAGTATGGGTGGGCAACGATAGCGCTGTCGGAGAGCTGGCCGTTATATAGAAGAGATCGGAGTCATCTGACAGCCCTATGCGGGTCCGCTGCGCATGCGGTACTCGATAGCAGCCATCCCATGGCGTGCTGCTCTTCGTCGTTGGACGCGGTCGATCCCGCCGGAAGCCCTTGATGGCTTACGCAGCACACCACACGTTCGCCCTGCATATGTCCGAGCCTTGAGTAGCTGAGGCCACGTACATCCCGCGGCCGATGAACGCGTCAGCCTGTCTGTATTGCGAGTATGTATCTGTAGCTCATCGTCGTCGCGAGTCGAGTCGGCGCGAAAGCACGGTCGCCGAAGGCGCCCCGAGCCCGGGCCGGAGGTAAACACGACCACATGACTTGTGGCTTAGATCGACTTCAAATTCAATCATCCGTCGGCGCGCCAGTTGGCAGTTGGCGCGCGGCGCAGGACCGCTCATTCGGTCTGAAAATCGAGACAAAAACCAGACTGAGATCTACACTCCAAAAAGATATCCACAAATATATACAAATCAAACTCAAAAGCCAAACTCATCCTCTACGCCATCTCCTCAACCGCACTCGCGAACGTCTCGCCCGCACCCAACGACCTTTCATACCTCCTCCTCAGCTCATGCAGCGTAAAGCTCGTAGCCGCGAGCATCAGCAACAATCCAAGATCGTTTGTCGCTAGTGCTTCGGTCTGGAACACGGCTTGCATGACGGGGACGTATACGAGGGCCAATTGCGCCGCGAGTGAGGCGGAGACTGTCGCGACGAGCATCCGGTTCTGCGTGAGCGCGCAGCCGAGGCCGCGGTTTTGGACGGCTGAGACGAGGTCGAGGAATACAAAGCAAGTGAAAGTCTGCATTGCCGTCGGTCAGAATCGCGAACTATCGCAGAGGGGGGGATGGGGGCTTACCATAGTTTGCTCGCGTCTTGACATGTGGTCGTCGGATAGGGCGAAGTAGTAGATGAAGAGGGTGCCGACGACGATGATCGTCGCGGAAAAGAGGACACGGTAGAGGATACGCTGGGAGATGATGGGTGCGTCTTTCTTGCGAGGTGGCCGGCGCATCACGGCGCGGTCAACAGGATCTACACCAAGGGACTGACTAGGCGGGCCTATGCAGATACACAACGCATCAGCACAGAAACCTCACAATCAACAGTAAGGGAAATGCTTACCATCCATGAGAATATTGATAAACAATATCTGCATCGCATTCAACGGATTGCTCAGCCCAAACATCGTACTGAGCGTAATAAGCGTAAGCGCCGCCGCAGCCGTCGACAGCTGAAACGCCAAAAAGTTCTGAATATTATGAAAAATGCTCTTCCCCTCCTCGACCGCGGGCAGCACCGTGCTGAAGTTATCGTCCACCAGAATAACGTCCGCGGCCTCCTTCGCGACGTCCGTCCCCGAGCGTCCCATCGCGACGCCGATGTCGGCCATCTTGAGCGCGGGCGCGTCGTTCACGCCGTCGCCCGTCATCGCGACGACCGCGCCGCGCGCCTGGAACGCGCTCACGATCGCCATTTTGTGCTTCGGGGACGTGCGCGCGAAGACGCGGACGGAGGCGACGCGCGATTGGAGCTCGGTCGTGCTCATGGCGTCTAGCTCGCGGCCGGTTAAACATGCGCCCTGTCCGACGCGCATGCCGAGTTGCTTTGCGATGGCTAGGGCGGTTGGTACGGCGTCGCCGGTGATCATGACGACTTGGACGCCGCCGGACTGTAAGAGCGCAACAGAGTCCGCCACGCCTCGGCGAGGAGGGTCGAGCATGGCAGCGTATCCGACAAAAACCAGACCACCGCGTTCGCCGGGAGGCGCGGGCGTTCCTGCGCGAGAGCTGGCTGCGCTGAGCGTCGTACCTCCCGACTCGGGTCCACCATGACCATATGCGAGCGCGATAACGCGTAGACCACGAGCGGCGGCCGCGTTCGCCTGGGAGATGACCATCTGTTTCGCGTTGGCGTCGAGCGCGGGGGTGCTGTCGTCCGCGACGTGGTAGAACTTGCATCGCTCGAGCAGAGGCTCGATCGCGCCCTTCACGTAGTACGTCTCACGCGGCAGATGGCTGAGCGTCGGCGCGCCGGTATGCGAGCCAGCTACAGCCATGTACTTGTGCTCCGATCCAAAGGGCTTCTCGTACGTCCGTGTGAAGCCTGCGCGAGGGTCTGCCATGTTGAATACACCGAGGACGTTGAGAAGTGCAACGTCTGTGCTTTGGCCGACGAAAGTGCCAGGTTCATCGCGAGATGGAATAGCATTATTGCATAGAGCGCCGATTTCGAGCGCGCGACGGAGGGCGGGTGATACGCTAAGAGGCGCGGAGGGAGATGCGGGGTCGATCTCGACACGCTCGTCGACTGTGTAGAGCTCGGTGACGGTCTGTTCGTTCTTCGTGAGAGTACCTGTGCCCTCTCAGTCACCGTGAAGAGGGGATTGGCACATATACACGCACCGGTCTTGTCAGAGCAGATGACGGACACCGAGCCCAAAGCTTCGACTGAATGGAGCTTCTTAACAATCGCTTTCCTCTTGCTCATACGAAGTACACCGAGGGCGAGCGTGACGGTAGTGACGATGGGCAGACCTTCCGGGATTGCAGCAACCGCGAGAGATACTGCAGATCGAGATCAGGGATGACGATATGTGAACCTGGTAGGGTAGGACATACCTCCGATGGTAAACATATCGAGCCATGAACGATGCTGAAGAACGCCGATGAGGCAGATAACTCCGATAACGCCGAATGAGATGAACGACAGCTTTTGAGCAAGCTCGTCCATGCTTCGCTGCAAGGGCGTGCGTTTTTCCTCAACCTGCCACAGGACATGATTAGCTCTCACTGCATACAACTATAGAAGTAGGCGTACGTCTTGCATCATAGAGAAGATAATACCGAATTCAGTCTGGGTGCCAGTCGCGATGACCACACCAGATCCACGACCTTGACACACAAATCAGTACACTGACAAGCGCACATAGAGGAAGATACTCACCATTGCGCACCAACGTGCCCATGTATGCGATACATGTCCGGTCGGCCATCGCAACAGGTTCAATAGAGTGCATCGCATCGCCATTCTCGTGACGAGTACAAGGCGCTACAGTCTTACTGCGCGAAGTTGTCTCGCCGGTAAGACTGCTCTCGTCAATCTCAAGATCTAGTGCGTCGATGAGGCGGATGTCGGCTGGTACACGGTCACCTGTGGAGAACGTCACGATGTCGCCGGGTACGACTTCGTTGGCGAGGACGTGAACAGGCGTGCCGTCTCTGATCAGAGGATTAGATGAGTATTTACGCTCGAGCAGACGGGCGCTCACCGGATGATGTGACAGTGATGTGGCACAAGTTTGTTCAGCGCCTCCAGACTCTTCTCCGATCTTTGCTCCTGGACAAACCCAACTAACATCTTTTCAGGTCTAGCTATGCTCATCCCATCCAACAACACTCACCAGTAAGCACGATAAGAATAGCAACAGTGATACTAACAGCATCATCGACGTTCCCAACGATAGCCGAGATGGCCGCCGACCCGCACAGCAGCAGGATCAACGGACTCTCGTATATCGTCTTGGCGAACTTGAGCCAGATGGGTTCGGGCGCTTCGACGGTGAACTCGTTGTAGCCGTATTGGCTGTGTAAGGCGGGGATGTTGCCAGAGGATAGACCTGTTGAGGGCGAAGTCCGGAAGAAGGCAAGCGCGTCCTGTATCGAGGTGTTAACGCCCCTATTCCTTGAATGCTCGCCGGACGTGCGACGAGCTGTGGCAGTCGATATATAACGTACCTCTGCAGGTCGTGCCGACCATTTCGCTGACGCAGTCTCCTCCTGACTCTGCTTCGTCGGCAAAGAAGCATATCCATTCTCCGCCCTGCTCTCCCCACCGCCGCCCACAACACCTCGAACGGTCCCAACGACCTTATCCCACACGCCCTCCCTCCCCTCCTCATGATGCGACGGCGGAAACCGATGCGCATGCGGCGATAAAATATTCTGCGGCGACAGCGCGTGTTCCTCCGGATTGCGCCGCAGCGTCGAGCTGTACGCAAAGTGCGCGTTCGCGTCGGCCTTGGCCATCGGCGGCGCCCTGTCGTCCCCAGCGGCCGTCGAGAAATACATGGAAGCGGGATAGTTTGGCTGCGCGCCGCCCGCCGCGGTTTGCCGGATGCTGCTCGCGTTCTGCGGGGCGCGGTAGCGGGTGGTGGCGCTGGAGGAGGACGAGGGCGACGGGCCGTACGGCGGCTCGGAGTATATGTTGGACGGCTGCCCGGTGCGCCTCTGGGAGTGGGAGCCCATTTCGGATTGGCGGTGCTTAAGAGCGAAAGGGCCTGAGGAGTTCCCTTCCCCTGTCAGAGCGGTTCGGGAACGGACAATGACAAGACAGGAGTGCGCCGCGGTTCTGATCTCGCGAGCCTCACTTCGCGCGGGAAGCTACCTCTTCGAAATTCGAATCTGCGGTCGTAAGACTCGTTAACTCCCCTCGCGGGGTCTTGTTCGTGGAGGCGGAATAGACTGGGTCGTAGACAAGTACAAGATAGAGCGGTTGCGAGGAATGACAGAGAGGAGATGGGCGTGTTAGGCTGGGCCACACCGCTGGCAACTCGAGCTCCGCCACGTGGAATCAGTATACCGGGCTGCGCAAAGCTGCGCGACTCTACCTTGTTTCGGAATAAACCTGACATGTCTCGATTTCTCTTTCAGCGCTCAGTGCGCTCAGAGCTTCTACCACACATACGCACATGACTAGCAAACTACTGGTGAGAGTGCCAAGGTGGTAGAGGAAGGCCATTACAACTGTCATTACACAGGAGCGTCATACGTACCCTACTTCTACAGCCTGATCGTAGTCTCAACCGTCTTCCCAGCGCCAACATGGCCCTCAAACTGCACGACCTCCGCCCACGGCAGCGTCGCATTCGCCCTCGCCCTCTCATAGAACACGCGCACCTCGCCCGTCGTGCCCTCCGGCACACTGACCGTCGACCCGTTAACGCTGACCGTCGCGTTTCCATTCTGCCCCACAATCTCAGCCCGCAGCCGATTCTGCGGGCTCGCAAGATCGAACGCGGCGCCCTGCGCGCTCGTCACCGTCACCTCCCACGCATCGGACCCGTTCTTCCTCGCGGAGATCGAGTACGGCGCTACGCCCGCGGGCACACGCAGATCGCCCGTGTCGGCGCCGAAACCCATGTATAGGCTATCGGGCTCGACGAACAGACGCGCGTTGTACAGGTAGCGGTCGGCGTCGGTCGAGGGGCGCGCGTGGTGCGGGTAGTAGATCTCTTTGCCGTTCGAGCCGGCGGAGGCGATGATGGAGCCGTGGCCGGTTGAGTAGATTCCACCTACACACGCCGCGGATGATCAGCATGATGCGTTTATGGAAGTTGGAAGCGAGTCAGATAGAGGTATACGTACGGCTTGCGTCCTGGGAAAGGATCGGGTTCGAGCCGCTCTTGTAGTACGGCCCGTCTACGGACTTGGCGTATGCGTATCCAACGCCGTAGTCGGGAGAGGCGTAACTTCGGGAAGAGCGTCAGCATGGTCCTAGCAAAAGCATATCCACAAGATGTACTTGTTCGCGCTGTAGGTCAGGAAGTAGACAGGTTCGCCGTACGAGTCGACCGTGCGGATGGTCGTCGAGCCCTCGGACCAGCGGCGGTTCTTCGAAGTGCCGTTGCTGGCCTGATAGTCGTACACATGCGCGTTCTCCCAGACCTGGCGCGCATTCACCCTGTCAGCCCACAAAGTCAAACAAGACTGCGAAGGAGCAGACGTACCTGAGGCTGCAGCGCGTAGGAAATGATAGGCACAAACCCGTCCTTGCGCGTCGGACCAGGGAACGACTCATTAACGCTCGTAACCCAACCCTCCGGCTTCCCCTTATTCACATCGCGGAAGCTCTTATGCACAGCGGGCATCGTCTTCGCCTTCGGATCGTTCCACCACGCCTCATCGAGCCTCACACCATAGATATTGCTCTCCTCGATGTACCGCTCGAACTCGTCGCTCCAGATCCAGTTCCTGTACGCGTTGCGCGAGAAGAAGAGCCAGATCGAGCCGTCGTGGTCCCAGAAGACGTTCGGGTCGATGGAGGGGATGTAGGTGCCGTTTGGTGCTGTTAGGCCTTCTGAGTGGGTGGAGGGCGGGACGAGGTAGGGCGGGGACATGAGGAGGTTGATGTCGTGGTATTCGGGGTCGAAGGGGTAGTAGTCGATTGGGTGGTCTGCGATTGAGACGAAGGGGCCGGCGGGGGAGCGGGAGACGGCTACGCCGATCTTTGAGGCCTCTTCGAAGTCGGGGTACCTATGTGTTAGGTCAACAACAGACCTCGGAGTGGAGGAATGCAACCCTCTTACTTGAAGTACTCCGCAATCTTCGACGCGTTAAGGTATCGGCCCGCATGGAAGCTACAACATCCCGTCAGCACCTTGAGTACCACAGCACGGTACAGCACACATACAGGAAATACCACCCCGTCTTCTCCTAAACCTACCATCAGCACCCCTTCACCCCAAACCACTCAACACAAACCGAACACACGCACATTATAATAACACTCCGGCGCCCACCACCAATCCTCCGCCCACACATTGTCCGAATCATTCCTAATCGCCCCGCCCGGAACCTTGCGCCAAGTGCTCATATCCGGGCTCGTATAAATCCCAAAATAATACCCCGCGTCGGCGCCCTCGGTGCTGTACGCCCAGTACGCGTTCGTGCTGTCGTCCCAGCGCACATAGACGTCCGCGGCGATGACCGAGGCGTCGTTGACGTATGTTGCGTTCGTGTGCCAGCGTGCGGGATTGGGGGATTTCGCGGATGCTAGGAGGGGTAGAGAGGCGATGACGCCGGAGACCGTGAGGAGGTGCGAGGGCTTCATGGCGACGACGCAGACGACGACGGACTCGGAGCGACCGGCCGTCTCATGTTCGAGTTTCGCGAGCACGCCTTTTTGAACGGTCTTCTCCAGGTACGCAAGTGCAAGTCATGAGGACGGCCCGCAATATGAGATATCAGAGGGACAATGTGGTCGTCGAGTGTGCGGGGCATCACGAGCGCGCGTGGGTGCTTTTTGTAATGCCGGGCTCGGTCCCGGACTGTGTATAACGTCTGCTGCCGTGTGCGTAGCGTCGAGGAGGTGCCTTGCGAGGTTCGAGTATCAGGATGCCCTTGGAGGTGATGTATATGTATGCGCGTGACGCCATATTAGGCTGCAAGTGCCATCAGACTTCTTTAACTTGAGACCTTCTTCGGCCGCGCAAGTCCTAAGCTCGTTTGTACACCACGAATAGCTCGAGCTCTCGCAGGCCCAGCGTGCAGGAAAGGGACTGGTGCGTGCATATACTTCAATTGTCGGTAGCGATGAGGATGGAGGCAAGGTGCAGCGCGTTCCCGTCCCGCGGCAAGCGAACAAAGGGACCGAGGGGATACGATCATGTGAGTAACGCGGTACCGGGGGAAGTAATGGATCGATGCATCCTGCGCAGAGGGACGCGTACGCGCTGAACTTGTGCATCGACGGGTCAGACATTCATCGTGTCTACTTGAAACGGTGGGAACACAAACCTCCCGGGTCTCTGCCCTTCAGCGTTTCCTCCGCGGCGGCGACTCTTCACAGTACCATCTGTGGCCAATGCCTGACATCGACGGGCGAGTAGACTCATCCACAAAACACATTCTATTGGGCCGTATGGCTGTTATACTGTCCAATAAATCGGATGGCAAGAACCGTACAGGTTGCATTGCCGACAAGCCGCTGGACACCTCGGACAAGTTTGATCCCGCACGTGGAGGTCACGCCCTTCAAGCAACATGTTTGTTTGTTCGCTCCCACACAACCTGCTCTTGACATCCATGTCGCGCAGACCTGTACATACTTCGTACTATACTCATTATACCCTGTGATGTGTCGACCATAGCCTCTGCCCATGCCTGGCTTGCCTGTGCCATTGTTTCCGTTGCGGCCTCGCCCACCTATCCCGTATCATCCGAAAGCTTCCGCTCGTCCTCGACCTTAAGACGAGATTTTAGTGCAATTCTCTCCTTCGTCCCGACGCCCATCTCGTCGACACCCTAAAGCCCTCCGCAGACAACTACTCTAGACATCCGATAATAGCAAAATGGCCGATTGGAAGCGGCTCCTCAACTTTGTCGGTGCCTGCCGTTTCGTGGGTTGTACTCGTTGTACCTTCGAAGAGTTTATCCCGCCTCCCAATGCGAGTGACGAAACCCCGCCGCGCAATGTAGAGTGCGGTACCTGTGGCCACAGTATTCTCTGGCATATGGAAGTATCCTCAGGCGCTAAGGTATGCCCTTTCGCGCCTATAATATAGATCTCGATCCTCACCTTCATTCAGGACAACCCTGCGCCTACTGCAAACAGCAGTCCTACTGCCAATCAGCCGCCTGTACGTTAACCACCAAATACGAGACTCCCATCTTGGTCCATGTGCTCATAATCTTTTTTCACCAGCCCGAATCCGCGAACTCGTCATCGATCAATCCCGAACCCGCCCCGGCCACTCCTGGTCCCATGCCGACTGGCACCAAGCGCCCGTTCATGGCTCATGCAGAGAAGCGCTATGAGTCGGCGAATCCCTCTGTTCGCGAGGCCGTCGAGCGCGAGGCGGCCGAGCGTGAACGTGAGCGCCAGCAGCGCCACAAGTCTGATGCGGCCACGAGTTCGCAGCCCAAGGCCAAGGCTGATGCTCGCACGCATCTCAATTCAGCCTTTCACCCTGCGCTGAAGGTCGGTGACTCTCCTCATACGTTGTGCCATGCCACTCACCTTTACTGCAGCAACAGGAAAAAGACCACGCCTCGAAACCCGGTAGGGAGAAACGTCGCGGCAAGGGTGGTTCTAAGAAGAAGGCCGACAATACGCCCAAGGCTATCGAAATTGACGTGGTGCTCCTACCCCGTACTGCCCGCGCTCACCGCAACTCGTACAAGGATGGCCGCTATCTCGGTTACAAGAAGCCGAGCCTCTCAGAGTATGTCGACTTGCGCTTATATGCCGTGGCTCGATCTGACGAAGCGATTAGATTGAATGGCTTGAGGATGGAGGGCTTGGTCCGCAAGATCTTGCTTCCTCACAACGCAAGTACGCATGAGATTGATAACCTCGTCATCGGCGCCTTCAAACACCACCCTGCATTTATCTCCGCCCTCGTGAACGCGACATCTATGAATCCTTACCGCCGGGCCTGGGTTCCCATGATCGTGACAAGTACTGGCGGCCAGGGTGTAACACGGACCTTGTCAACTCACCCCAAATTCACTCAGTACGACAAGGACGACCTCATAACCCACGAGGGCTTCTTGCAGTCAGTCGAGCTCGTTCGTTCATCTTATCTGCGCTTAATTGACATATATCTCGCAGGTGTACAGCTGATGCGCGCCCACGAACCATCTCGCGCGAGCTGGCTGGGACTTGGGCGAAGACCATGGTCTTCATTGCCTTGCGCTTAGGCTCGCAAAATCTTCCAACGAGGTCGCCCCACCCTGCGGAACCGGACACGGATCTCGAGGATGATGAGGACGACGAGGTATTCTTCAAATTTGCTTAATGCCCACTCTTCATTGACGAACTGGTTAGGGCTCCGACAACGATTCGTCTACACACATGCCAGACTTGAGCATGCCGGAGCCTACTTCGTCGTTTGACACCACCCCCGCTGCCCATTTCGGTGGATCGAGCCCGTTTTCTCACGACTTCTCCTTCCCATCGGACCCTTTGTTCGCTTCTGCGACGAGTGGCGCGTTTGATTTTGGCGGCGAGACTTGGACGTCCAGCTCAGTAAGCCTCACACATATATTGTATCTGGCATGCCACCTGATTAAGTGCTTGCAGGGACTCGGTTCGAATGGGGTACCTTCCGGTGGACACGGTACAACCTTCAATCCTTCAACCGTGAGTATGCGGATTCGCATCAGCCTGCCCAGTCTGATGCCTCTTAGGATTTTGGCTCCACAAGCGATAACGGAGCATCTTCTTCTACTCCGTGGGCGGTCAGCTTTGATTCATCGCCCTCCGTGTTCATAGCTGATGGCTTGACTACTAGAACCTGTCCACGCCTAACATACCGTCGGAGAATGCAGACTCGGCGCATCGTCCCGTATGTTTCCAAGCTCATCTCCTGCTCGTCTCCTTCTAAATATTGTGCAGTTATTCTCTCCGGCTCCGAGCGACGTACCGGGTGCTGCTGGTGCCGCAAAGGTGATCATCTTGTTTGTTCGCATCCATCATCGTCTCATATATTCCGGATAGACTGAATCGCCCACGGGTGATGACTTCTTCGAGGACAAGCGCCGCCGGTTTCCGCCTGCTGCCGATCGCCTCGCATCTGTAGCGCGAGCAATCGCAACTATCCAGGCCCCTGGCCAGTCGGCGTCATGGGTATGTTCACTTTGCGTCCACCTCTCAATTCTCATGCTCATCCTTGCATCAGTGGCCCAATCAGGCGCTCGGTTTCTACAAATCCGTCAGCCAAGAAGAATCGTTCTGTCAGATCTCCCTGGGCATTGAGGATGGCAGTTCGCCTCTCACCAACATGTACATCAACTCGTCTTCTGCCTCTGCCCTCTGGGACTCGTCGGCCGAGCGCATACTCACTCGGCTCATGCCATTGCTGGCATTGCCAAATGAGGTCGCCAACATCAGAGTTTCCGTTGACGATGTTGTCGATGTTCCGCCTTCGATGGCATTTGGTCCTTTCGGCCTGGATCTTGTCGTGTCCTTACTCGCGATGCTCACCGCTGCTGCGCTTTCCCATGTCCTGAGGTCGGAAGCACTTACCTGCATGCAACGACTCGAGTGCTATATCGACGCACTCCACGATGTTGTGACTGGCTTCAAGACGTGTGTCCCGCGTCATGTCTTCGACCTCCCGGCATTTCGCCCGCTCGAGAAATTCTTTCGCGATATTCACAAAAATCCACAGGCCCAATACACGGTGCGTTTCTTGACATTAGCCAAGACTTTCTGGTATTGACGTACCCATTAGGACTCGGTTCCGGCAGACTGGAACAAGCTCAGGGTGAAGGACAACTTCGCTCATCTCGTTTTCACTGGAAACGCCGACATCCTCCTTCGCGATCTTGCCGACGACTATGGCTACATTCGTGGTGGCGATACACCAGCTGATTCGTCTGTATCTCCTCACTGCCTTTTGGTCGGGGACCATGGTCCCGAGCGCCTTCTTAATGAGCTTATATTTCCCTTTCTCGACGAGTACGATGAAGCAATGCCTGGTCACAAGCTCATTCTGAGTATACTCGAGGATCTTGCTGGGGCCTTGTACCGTGGTTTCTCTACCTTCAAAAAGGTTCGCTGCAGTACTCCGCTCAATACATGTCCATTGTTGTTCTAAACATGAGCTGCAGTCTACCGGGAAGCAGGCATCCAGCCCGAGTGCTACTGGTAGCAAGGTGCGCCGCTCCTTTTCTTATCAACGTAGATCTGTGCTAATCCTATTCTTCAGTCGACTCGCCCCAATGCTCCCTCGGCTCCTACGTCCACGGATCATGTGCCCCCGCCGCCCACGTCTCGGGGCAAACGCAAGAAACCTGAATCAGACAGCGATTCCGATCTGACAGATCTTGATGAATCTCCTGGTGGCTCAGACGACTCTGACGACTCCGACGACTCCGACGATGAGCCCGCCCGTCCAAAGCAGGGTACCGGCGGATCGGTGCGAACTCCCCCTTATCATGTTGTATCTACGTTCCTGACGTCCTTCGTAGAGCCGCCGCCCACCACCAAAGAAGAAGTCTGCGCCATCTACAGAGGTTAGCATATGCGTATCCGTTCATGTACAACGCTCATATCACCATCTCAGGATGTCAATCCCCCAAGGCCAGGTGCTCGCACTCGTTCGCAAGGCAAGACTAAATCGGCGAATGGTATTGTTAACATCATCGCGAGAAACTCCCCACGCTGACGGAGAGCACAGGTGGTAACGACAAGGAGACCGGAAGTTTGCCCAAGGACCCATCCTCAAATGGTGCGCGTTCACATCCTGGTACCAAACCCGCTGGTCAGTAAATGCTGTCCCTCTTGTCTGTCAAGCTTCGTCGCTCAACATTACACAGGCAAGACCAAGCAACACTGGCACACGGGCACTGGTGGTGCAGACGATCCCCTCGACCTTGGTCCCGATTCTGACTCTTCCAACGATGAGCGCATCAAGGCAGCAGCTCGGGAGTATGCGAAGAGGAAGTCGCAAGGGGACGATCCCTTCTCCCGCCCTCCCAAGCGCTCGCGTACGGAGCCTTCCCACGGCAACGCTCATGCCCCCGATGGAAAGCACGACTTCACTTATGCACCAAACTCTCCTCAGCCTCCCAAGTCGGAAGCGCCCTCATCATCTCGCCCAACCAAGCCTTCCACGTCAAACACCCAGCCTCGCGATGGCACCACCACCCCTGCAGTACCGCGCACATCCGGTGTTGGCGGCTCTTCGACGGCTGGTGCGACTGCAGCACCTCGGCTCTCTCTCGAGGAGCGGCTCGGCCTCCAGTGGGCCCAGAAGTTGGAACATCGCATCGAGTCTTTAACATTCACCGAGCTTGTCGAGCGCATTAACTCCGCCTTTGGCGACGGTGGCCCGTATTCAGCGCAGCTCGGTTCAACATCTCCTTTGCCCGAAGGTTTCATGGACCTGACGTTCAAGAGGCAAGCGCGCGTCCTCCTATTGGTCTGTATCTCAATTTATTATCTGTCTGGCAGTCTTCTGATACGCCTTCAGATCTTTCATCCTGATAAGTGCAGGACATGGGCACAGTCGGATACCTGGAGAACGATTGCTGAGATAGTTACCCGCTGCGTAGCAGCTAAGAAGGATACATGGCCTGATGGCTGGGGTCTGCACCACGACGAGTAGTCCGCGTTAATCATCTTTTGACATCATGCGTCGCACTAGGCCACTGCTTTCCTGTATACGATTTGATTACCAACATGTAGCCTTCCACTCTATGTACTGCTTGGGTGGACTCATGCGCCCGCGAGGCCCGCCCATCCGGGACTGTTCTTCCTGTATTTACCAAGAACAGTACCCGAGATCTAACTCATGTCGCGCGCGACGCGTTCCCCCTAGTCTGGACGTGTGCTCGCCTGTATGAGAGAATGCGCAAGAGACGCGCCAAGCGCCCATCGTGGCCGTGTTCCCAGTATAGGAAAGCTACACCTGACCTACTTCTAGCCCAATCCATCCGTGGGAACAGGTAGAGCGCCAGGGGGAGGAGGAGGAGGAGCACATACTCTAGCAGATCTTCTCCGTGTCTAACAGATAATGACAGGCCCATGGACCCCGTTACTTATGAATAATGACAGGTAATCACCGAGCAATATATATATATATATTTATATAATCATTATATCTGAAAAAACAGCCGGGGGTTTCTCCTGGCACAGGTCTCTGGCTTCTCCTGGCTGGGGAGATTGCTGGTGTTGTTGAACCGGGAACCATGAGAGATGAGAACCCCTTCAGCTCTAGGCGAAGTGTGACATGTTCACCCGATCATTGTAACCAAATCTGATGGCAGTGTCACACACATTGTTGCACATTGATTGGCCTGGAATACTTTACACTGATAGCCCTTGGTCGTACTGGGAACTGTGCAAACCTCTTTCCCACGTAGGTAGCTACTGATAATTACTACAGTACCCATATCACCATGCATACATTATCATTTCACATATATCGTGGCAGAGACTTCAAGTGTGCTGTGGCATGGGCCGATGGTNAGGATGACCCAGGGTACTCTCAATATTTGCAAGACGATCCAACTGCCAGGGTTTCTGGCTGAAAGGTTGTCATCTCATTGAGCTGACAGCCTTGCTGGGTTCGATTCCTTGCACCTGCATATGTGATCCGCCATATAATTTTTGTCTCCGAAGTGCCCATGTAAACTCTAGCGAGGTCCTTCATTAAGTTTACAGCATTTGTCTCGTCAGTCATATCACCAAAGCCGTGCAGGCCCGGTGGTTCAATTTGCCCGGCGGTTACGAAGGTGGTGCTATAAACAATTCCGGTGATAACTGTATTGGATCATTCACTGCGGCGAATATGACCTCCGCAACGCCTTGGTCCCGGTGATCGGATTGACGATTGACCGATGCGCAGTCGAAAAGGGATCGCCGGGACTGGCGAGGTTTGTAACTGGCGATTCTTGACAGCCCTGGTTATTTCAAAGAGTTCGCCGTTGCACCGGGTGATCGCCCGGGCGGCAGATTAATCTTGAATCACCAGGCCTGGCAACCCAGATGGGTCTGTCTTTTGCTCAATAGAATCCCAATGCGCCGGAGTGGCACCGCCGGTGTCCTCGGTCTCCCATGTCCGCGGCTCCGTTGGCGAGCACTGTATTGCCAGGCCCACAATGAACCTATCACGGTGTCATGGTGGTATTGAGGAGCACTGCAGGCTATCCTCTTCCTGTTGCCGAACTTGCGATTATATGGAGGACCCACGAATTATTGATGACGGGTTCGATTCCCGGCTTCTGCATATCATTGTGCTCTACTCGTTTTTTTGCGACTGAAACCCAATCACCCTCCACGAGGGAATGTTATTGCACTTGTGAATGGATCTACTACGTTCCCTATAGATGGAAATGGCGGAAGGTCTCCGGTGGCTGTGGATGGCATTAAGCTGGTTTTGCAGTGCATGTCGGTGAGGGTTCGCCATGCCGACTGTACTTGTGGAGTTCGACCGATTGTGGAGGGAATGCATTTCCCATACATATTATCGGGTTCATGGCTGAACGGCTGTCACGTCCACAATTCGACAGCCTTGACGGGTTCGATTCCCTCCACCTGCATCCTCTGTTAGGTATTCTTTTTGTGGGCTGCCCAAGCACTGACTGTGATGTAATCGTAGCACCGATAGGGTTATAAGTTGAAAGGTGTCCTCTATTCCAAGCCACATGTTGTGCACTGAGAATATGGTGCATTGTCTTAGGACATTTACGCTGCTTAGTGTGATCGTGGCATGCACCATCACATGAGCCATGTGTTCAAAGCACCTCGGTACCATACAGCGAAGGACACGAGCACTGCGTACGATGGCCGTGATGTCTGGGGATAAGTCACTCAGGTCAGCAGGAGATGATATGGGCGGCGTTAAATGAATGTGGCATCGGGCATACAAAGTGCACTATGCTCAACAGTATCGCCGGAGCACATCCGAGTGGCGGCATTCGCCGCGGCCACAAGAGATATCGCCAGCGGCGACGAGATTGCATGACCAAGCTAGCGTGGAGATGCTTTCGTCAATCGCCCAAATGCGTCGGTAGTATGGCACAAACGGTGTTTCGGGTCTCTTACGCCATCACGCGAACGCTATCCGGCGATTGGGTTCGGCTTGTCCGAGCGCGCCGTATGGGAAACCTGTCCACGGCGATCCGTTACCCCTGATGTACTTGCGCCCGGGGTTCCTCACTTCCCCAGACCGGGTGATGATTGCATTACGGTTTGACTATTGGGAGGGTCCTCTACATATCATTCCCCCAGTTCTTAAAGCCTCAGTCATAATTTCAGACATCTATTCAAGTTTCAATCATGTATCCCATCCAAGGGAGTCTCAGAATTGACGCTATACGCACTGTCATCTTCTGACCAAGAAGTGGAAAATCGCACTTCCCGTCCCTCCCGTCCCTCCCGTCCCTCAAACCCTCCCATATACCATCCCGACCCTTCGAAGTCTGGCAGACGTACATGCTCCATGTTTTTCCAGATACAAGCTCTCAGTTCGCGTACGGTGTTCTTCAGAGTGTAGCTGTCTTCATCAACGACTCCGTACAGGACAAGGGTCTTCAAGCTGGGGAAATAGGGCGCGAGGTGGTAGATATCGACCATTGGGCGCAGCCTTCCGCCGGCCTTTATGATTAAGACCTCGGTAGT